AGGGAAAGTGAAATCCAGAGAGATTATTTTATCCATGAAGATGGTTGTCCCTATCTTAGGGAGGTAATGAAAGCCTGCCCCAAAGCCCATTCTAATATTTGAGAGCTTTAAAGAAATATAAATGAAGCCTATAAATAAGGAACCACTGATGGGGAGTGTTAGTAGTCAGTAAAGCACTGTTGATGAGCAGTTTTTATGGGAATAGGAGGCAAATAACCAAGTAGGAGAAATGGAGAATCAGAGTTAGGAGAGAAGTTTGCTGGAACAGAAACCAGAAAAAAAAGGAGCAACAGTCTGCAAAATTATGCTTGAATTTATGTAGTGTCTGGAGCTGGAGACCTGGAGTTCATCCACTCCTGGGAGCCAAGGAAATTGCAGCAGCAGCCTGATCTGCTTTACAGACTTGAAGACATACTGTCTGTTCAAGAGATACTAGAAGCTGAGTTCAAACCTCACAAGAGGAAGAGATGACAAGGGCTCAAGATGGGAGGAAGGATGCTCCCTCACTTGGAGTGAACAGGATGATACCCTTGAGCTTGGAAGCTGATTTGAATTGGAGCTACAGTTTTATTAGTGCCCAAATGAACCATCTTGCCTCCAACCAAGACCCTGCCCTTTTCTAAATCATTCCTTCTTGGTTGGTCTCATCCACCCACCAGAGTGAAAGGCTTCTTGTACCCTTAAACATGTATTCCAGCTAGGGGACCTGCCTCTAGCACAGCCTTATGTGCCCTTGCTCTTTTCTGGGATTCTGCCAAGGAAACTCCCTAATCTACAGACAGATGGCCAGCAGCCAAGTTCAAAATGTGTTTTACTCCGAGTCCATAAACACGTAGCCCTATTAAGTGTGTGCAGAAGCAAAAATTTACATAGGGTTCTTCAAAGTTTTAAGTTTTATTCTTTGAGTAGTGTGCGATCCAGGGGAATTTAGGAGTGGCATCTATCAGATGTCTGTGAACACACAGCTTATCTTCTCACATAGGTTTGGTCTTACAGTTCAGTTCACGTTGTCTCTCTTGGTGGTCTACTGAGAATTGAATGGTCTGCAGCACAAGACTTTTTTTCCTTCTGTTGCTGTTCTCTTTAGAATTACTGGAATGTCGCTGTTCAGGTTCACAGACTAGATTTTAAAAAGACATTTAGGCACTTAAAGATGGAAAGCACATGACTAGGTGTCAAGTCCATAGACTAAGCAGCTCTGGAAATCTGTTTTGTAGGACTGGATAGACAGAAGAGTGTCCATTGAGAATCACTGCTGACCAGGAGGTGTCAGTGAGTGAGGCGTTTCTACGGGAGAAGAGAATGGAGTAACCACACAGTATGGAGAGAGAACAAGAGGGAATCGAGAAGGGAGAAACGAGCAAGTGACTTGAAAAACACTAGAGAAGGAGAATAACACCATCGAAGGTGGCCTGGGCAGAGTGAGGTTATGAAATAGCTGGAAGACTGCATGCAAAGCACAGCAATAAAAAGTCAGCTCCCATTTCCATCAGAAGTGACTGTAGGAGGGACATAGATGGAAAGAGAAGGATTACACCAGCTACAAAAGGTATTTGGCTTCCAGAAAGGACAAAATCCTTTATTGTATCAAAATCAATTAGAATTGTATTGAAGGCTTTTCCATGTAAACAATTTGCCAAGGGGCTAATGGGACCACTTTTTTGCAAGCGACAGGAGCGATGGTAGTCTCACAGGACAACCTGGTAAAATTTCTCATGTACAGCAGAAGTAATCGTTTAAGATCATGAACTGCATCTTCGCTGTAACGGTATAGCCCTGGAGCAGAATTACTGTGTTACTGTTTAATCTCTCTGTACCCAGTGGGGCAGTGTTCATCTCTGCCTCCCAGGGCTGTCCTGCAAATGGCATGTGTTCCTCTTCGTGTCCTCTTCCATCTTTCCGCGGTAGGATTATAGTGGTGAAGGTAGAATTGGCTTACTGCTGTGAGTATGCAGATACCACCAGGTTATCAGTAGAGTTAGTGTTCAGTGCTCCTGACGTGTATCTGTCTTGTATCTAATGGCCTGAACTTGGAAGTAGAGTGAGCAGAGGGATGCCTTTAATATCTTTGAGAAGTCAAGCCTGTGTTTTATTTTGAGGTGCTGGTTTAAAAATCCATGTGTTGAAATTGTTTTTACTAGCTATCCTTTCATCATCAAAAAACGCCCGTAGTCCCTGCAGTTGCTGGGGAAAAAAATTACCTTAACTGAATAATCTTAAGTAGTACAAGAGGTACCTACTGAGATGAAAGCCTATAAATACAGAATTTTCTTCCTCTCCTGTCACAAGTACGGTCCTTTTATTCATTGTCCCTTTGGGCCTTAATTAATGAAGGGCAGGAGGCAACTGGTTTACCTGTTCAGTGTGGTTGTGAAATCATAAGATATCTATGGGCAGCTAATGTAGTAAAGTGAAGTTCCCCGATGACTTTGAAAGTGCTCAGTGAAATCAAATTGCTTGCAGATCCTTTATGAGTCTTTAAAAAATGAATGTTACAGAAACTGACCTAGTCTTTTTTTCTTTTTTTTTTTTTTTTTTTACCCTGCAGATATTGATGATGTCAGGAAGCACAAACCAGGTTACCTTGAGGCTACGCTTGACTGGTTCCGATTGTATAAAGTCCCTGATGGTAAACCAGAAAATCAGTTTGCTTTTAATGGAGAATTTAAAAACAAGGTGAAGATAATGCAAAATTAAAAGATGCATCCTTCTGTCATGTGGCCTATTTAATACATCCTAGAATTTCTGGAATTGTAAAGGAGGAGGTGTAACAAAAGGAGTTTTTATATGAGGGATCTTTGAATAGAATTTCTTAGACTAGGAATAAATAATGTTTGCTGCCTTCCATTTTATTCAGGGAAAATGCATAGGTTATTAAAGGCAGTCTGTAAAAAGAACTTCATTCCTAATCCTGACAAGACTTACACATGCACCTGTCTGTTTGTAGGTTTGGTTTTTTCCCCAGCACTTTCATTCTCCCTGTCAGACAAATGAACAGATTGTCTTTTGGGGTCTTTATTCAGTCCTGATTGATAAATTTTTCTGACTTTTTTTTTAAGGCAACGCAGTTTAAACAGACAATGAGTTGCAGATTTTTTTTAGAGTTGGTATTTGCTCAAGGTATACTTTTTCCTGGTAATTCAGTGTAAAAGCATTTGAGCTGGTTTTGGCTTGAAGACTGAAATAATGTTTTTCCCTTTTTAAGGAAAAGTGAATGGCGTTTTAAGATACCTACAGTAAAAATGGCCAGTGTTTGAAAGGGGAGTGGACCTGGGAATAGACCTCATTGAAGAAAATACCTGGATTTTTCCAGAGGAAATTGGATATGATTTGAGTAAAAGTGCTTTGCAAATCGTGTATTGCAAGCTCTCTGTAGACTCTTTTTGGCAAAGAATCACAGGTTCCCAATGGATGATGTCCGTGTGTCAGCTAGAAGTTAAAAAATGCCTTCCAACCAGCAACATTACATGTTTTGTCTGGTTAAAGAGGTGCCCGAACTCCCCTTTGCACTAAAAGTGTCTTTTTAATCAATCAGATACAGAGTTGTAAGGCTTGGTAACCTGATCTCTCCCCTGTTCTCCCAGGAACTGCTATTAGAGATTTCCCTGGTCTGTAGAGCACGGTGTCACTCAGTAGCAAGAGTTTAACCGTGTCTCCGTCCCTGTCAGGCCCTTGGAGTTCAGGCTGGAGGTGCTGAATGCCCCGAGATAGCTGCTTTGGAGCACTCGAATAATTCTCAAGCATTTCTAGAGACCCAGGATGTGGCGAGGCAGCCGTGGCTGTGCTCCAGCAGCTCTGGTGAAGTTCACAATGTTCTAGGGGCATTTTGCCAAGTCACTCCTTGTTAGGAAATGTGAAAGTTCTGCTGGCACTTTTTGCAAGTCAGTCCTAGATATCATCATCTGGACACTGAGGGCTTGTTTTACTTTATTTTTTTGAAGCTTTTTCATCCTCGCCCTGCCCCCAGTAGTACTTTTGTTTCTAACAAACAAAAACTGTTAAGCTGCTGACACGTTGCGTTATTGCCAATGCTTATGTATATGATTGGGCAATTTATGAAGTAAATGCAAATTTTACCACTGAAGGGGAAACCTTAACTCTGACTGGGATGTGCACGTGTAACAGAGGCGTCATAGCTCACACACTTTGTCCCAGTTAGGACCTGGTACAGCTTTCTACAGCTGTAGGTGTCTGCTCAGCATCTAGTGCTGATTTCATATTTTGTGCAACCTTTGTGCTTTCTGGCTGCAGACTGAGGGAAAGTCCTGAGTGCGTTGCCAGTGTATTTGACAGATAGTGAAGTTTGTTTCTTTTCAGGAAAAAGGGTGTTATATTTTCCAGAAATTTAATGAGGTCTCGAAGGAGGCCCCTTAAAATAACACATGAAACACTGTTTTAATAAACTAGTTCTGTGGCTTTTTTTTTCTGTTTAATAACATTTTAAATCATAAAACTTTTCCTTGATGTAAACTAGGATTTTGCTGTTGAAATTATTAAATCCACCCATGAATACTGGAAAGCTTTGCTTCATAAAAAAGCTGATGGAGGCAATATTAAGTGGTAAGTATCCAGTCACCTTTCCCTCTTCGTATTGTGCTAGTGCTGGTGGTTTTCAACATGTGACAGCTGTGCACAAACTGCTTAGATTTTTTTACTTTGACAGGAATACTCATGTTTTTGATTGATAATTAATTTATAATAGACCCTAATTGACTAATTGCATCTTGTATGATGGTGTTTTACTGGTACGTGGTTCCAAAATATATTGATATGTAAAAGTGAGATAGATTACGTCAACATTTCAGGAATGGCCCCAGAGTGTGTGTTCAGGATCATTTTGGGAGAATCTCAGTATCCCATACAAATCCTTTTGTCACTGCTTATTTCATCTTCTCATGCTGCATTGCTGTGATGCAAAAGAATTTTGCAGCTTAGCATTCCATATTTTTTAGTTGTTCTCTGGATTGAGAGAACCAAATTAGTGGTTTTTACTAGCCTTTGGCCTGATCTAAATTAAAATGGACTTCATTAAGCTCTCTGGACTGGTCTGCATTGGCAATTGTGGCACCAGAGGCCCTGAAGAGCAGGCAGATACTTTTGCCTGGTGCTTTCCAAGGACTGTAGGTTGCCATCAGCTAAACTAGCAGGGAAAGCTGCGCTCGGATAGGTGCTGTTGTCTTCTACTTAATTGGGAAAATACGACTTTCTGTCTCCTTCTTGGAGCTGATTGAACACCATAGTGATTCAACAGGTTGATAGTTCCACTTTAGCATGGTAAGAATACTGTAGGATAATACCCAAATGATGGTCTTGATAATTTCAGAGACACCTTGAGTTTCATGTTGACGAAGTTAAAAAATGAAAGTGCAGTCTTGCTTTGAGGAATTGAACTTGCCATTTACTGTGTAGGACCTTAAAAACTCATGACCGTACTCACTTTTTGTGTCAAAGAATGTCTATTCACATGGAAAGGTTTCTGCAAAGTATTTGGTCCCAGAGTTTGTCTGTTCTCTGGAAGCAGTACAGATAGATACCTGCTGCTCCATGTAGGAGCAGGATTTTGACTTTTTTCTTTCCTTCTTGTTAGATATTGCAGGCAGGTTACTGGCTGCCATGGAGTCTGGCCAACCTTCAGGGCACAAGAGACTGGGATATTCACACCATCTCTGCCAGGTGTTCTTCAGGCTCTGCAGAGGGACCTGGATAGGCTGA